TGGGGGCCCCTTTAGGCACTGGAGCGGCTCTAATGTGTCCCCTTCAGGAGCCTTCTCTTCTCCAGCTGCCCCAGCCCAGCTGTCTCAGCCTGGCTCCAGAGCAGAGCTGCTCCAGCCCTCGCAGCAGCTCCACGGCCTCCTTGCTTGGGCAGCTCCTGTCCCTCTTGTGTGGGGGGCTGCAGAGCTGGACACAGAACTGCAGCGGGGGTCTCAGGAGAGCAGAGTAGAGGGGGAGAATCCCCTCCCTCAGCCTGCTGATCACACACATTTTGATGCAGCTCATCAGTCCTACCCTTCCCTCTCTGCTGGAGGTTTGAGAGCTGGTGTAGAGCTGCTGTGCAGGTTTTAAACCAGGTGAAGGGACCTAACAGAGGCACTGGCCTCATTCTTCCTTAAGCAGGTGTTACTGACGGGGAGTATTTGTAGTGCTGATGTGCCACATAGTGTGCAAGCCGCATGCCAAGCTTAATACGAGCTACAGGAAGATAGCCCCATCTGTAATCTACCATCTCATAATAGACTTGTTTAAAACAAGCTTGTGCTCTGATGAAGGAAGTGCTTACATGCAACTGTCAGCTTCACTGCAGCACAGTGCTGTCAGCCCTGGTTATGCTGGGAGGGTGTCTCCATTTGATGGGGAAAGGGGTTTTGCCATCTGAGGCTTATACCAGTGGAAGTCCCCACACACAAACCCATCTGGGGAGGGAGAGCACCCGTGTGGAAGCTACCACATCTGAAGTCTTACTCAAGCATGTTTAAAGCCATTGTTTGTCTACATTAATCACTTCACTGCAAACTGAGCATCCATGCCTTTCTCCCTGCAGAAGCCCGCTGGAATACATGGCTTTCAGCCAGACACATTCAAGAAGTTTCTGGCACTGTATCTGCATGGAACTGTGTGAAATTCAGCTCCAATGAAAATACTTCACCAACTGTACCTGCTGCTTCCCTTTGCCAGAACCAGCACATAATTAAAGAACGGTGGATTAATTTTACTTTCAAAAATAAATTATATTGTTACTGAAAGTAAATCTTTCTCTTTTTTTATTAAGCCAAATTGTGCATGAGGAACGTTTCATTTTAGGGGCTCACCCCTGGATTTGGGTTGGAGTCATCAAATGCTTCCTCCTGCACTCTTCCACCATTGCCTAGGAAGAACATAAGCCAGTCATTATTCCTCTGCGCAGGGTCTGCTCTCAGTGTGCTTCTGCACAGAGCCAGACTCAAACCTATTTTCCGAGGTTGCTTTGAGTACCTCTGAATGCAGTGTATGGGGAAGAGACTTCCAAAGCTTCAAGGGGGGAGCCTGAGACATAAGCCTTTGTCATTCTGCCTGGCTTTTTACTTTGTTTTACTCCTGACTGCTTTGGGATGTGTCCTGCTGCCCTGCGCTTAGTTCCCAAAGCACTTAATCGGTGAGATGGCTTTGTTGGATCTATAGAACCACGGTTCTTTTATCCCCCAATCCTGGATGAAGAGACCTATCTATCCATTTTGGGAAAGGGGTGTAGAACGTAGCGTGAAACTTTGGTGCCTGGTAGCTGGTATTTGCTGCTAAAAATACAAAGGAAGAATTTCTTCCTGCCGTACAGAGTTAACTGAGCAGGAAGCGTATTCTTTTTAAGATGGGGGGATTAGTGTGGTTTGCTGTAAAATGAAAGCTAAATTAGCTCCAGCCAAATGTAGAATGTTTTGCAGTTCTGCACTGCTACCCTCCAGCACATGGGAAGGAATAGGACAGCCTGTGCTATTTTAAGGTGTGGAAAGAGCATGTTTCCAAGAAATTCATCTCACTTCGCAGCATCCTGTGTCAGAGACTGGTCTGTGCTTTGTGATCTTCTCTGGCCATCTGGATGAACACCCCAGTTGTGTGTCTCAATCCATCAGACTGCTCTATTCCTGCAGGTTTCAGAAAACAAGGTTTTTCACTACTCAAATCTAAGATCAACACTTGGACCCAGTAATTTGGGGTGCATTGGCTGCAGGTTAAATTAACAAATCCCTCAGTAGTTAGAAGGCTTGAAAGAGACGTAATAACACATTGATCTAGATCACATTAATTCTGCCTGCACAAGGGCTCCCTAATTCAGCTCATCGCTTTGAATCTGCTCAGATCTGTAATTTGCACCCAGTTATTTAGGAATGCATTTTAGCACACTTGTGGAGACTGTCTGGTGTTTGTTTCCCAGGCTGTTGGCTCTCTGCTGTGTCACACAGACCCTGCAGAAGAGCGCTAGGACTGTTCCCTCACAGCATCCCCTCACCCTTCCAGCTTTGGGTCATTACTGGTCTTGGGTGAAGCCCTGCAGGGCAGGCAGGCACAGCATTAGCATTCCTGAGCAGGCTGGTTTCACTGAGGAAGCCTGGTAGAAGAGTGGCTGTGGGGAAATACACACCTCACATGTGGGACTCTGTGAACATGATCTACATGGGAAAGAACCAAAGCCCTTTTAGATGCTTCTACCTCTTGACAAAGATATCTCTATTAGGACAGGCCATAGAAGAGGAGAAACTAAATGAAGCTGGAATCCTGGTGTCTCCAAAACTGAGCAAAGCACGAGCACAAGGAAAGATGGATGGAGGCAGAACAAAGGCAGTTTTGAGAAGTAGCAGAAGCAATAAGACGTGGGATAGTCAGCAGAGGAATGAGGCTTCGACAGGTTACAAGAGGCATCAAGAAGCCAGATGAGGGCTTGAGATGAGGGGACAATACCCAAGCACATGAGCCCCCAACCCTGATTTGCTCAGGACACAGCTGATCTCACCTGCAGTAAGGGAAGAAGCAGTTACTCACATGTTGCTGGGAGAAAGCTCCTCTAAGGTCCAGGAGAAGAACTGAAGGAGGGCAGAGCAGGGCTCCCAACTTGGCACCTGGGAAGGATCCTCAGGTTGGTCCACAAAGGATGCAGGTACAAGGCTCACGAACCAGGCAGCAGCTACCACAGCCAGCCATGTTCACACGTATGGTGTCCCACTGGTTTTCCCAAGCATGCTGCGTGTGGTCCATTCCTCCAGTGTGACCTGCTGGAATTGACCCACCTGAGGAAGATGGGACCAACAGATCTCAAAGGGACATGTGGGTTGGCATCAATAAGTTATTAAAGGCTCGTCAGCAGATGAATGGCATTACCTCATCACGGACCAAGAGCCAGGCATTAACTTTTAATGAGCTGCAGCCGGGGAAGCAGAACATGCAAGAACAGGGCAGCGGGAGTCAGAGATGGAGGCTGGTGGTGCCTGCCTGGCCAGAGGAGAGCTCTGCAGCCCCAAGTGCAGGATCTGGTCCCCAGCCTGCCCTGGGTGCTCCATCACTCCACACTACTCCTGGTGCAAAACCAGGCTCCACAGGCTGCCCTCATCGTGCCAGCAAGGACACACTGTGCTCAGGCTGGAGCCCCTGGTTCTTCAGATCCTCCTCCTGCATTTAATTTAGTGCAAACTAATGGGTGAGACAATTATCCCTAAGGCTGGGCTCAGGAGACATTTAGAGGAGGGAACTTGGCAGTTTCTCATGGTGGTGTTTAACGAGATTAGCCTATAACCCAGGAAGAACCGATGGGAAGGGCTCTCCTATGCCCTGCAATAAACCCACCACGGGCAGTGATGCTGCCTGTTGCTCCTCGTGGCTAAGCAGGGCCTGGATGGGCAGGAATGGCCTCAGACAGCCTGGAGGGCACGAGGGCCTCATCAGCATCACTAATTACACTTGGGGTCATGTTTCCAAATGACAGAGAACGCTCACACATTACTTTCTGCAAAGCCCTGAGGGATGGGACTGTCTGGACCAAAACCCACACTGGGGCATGGCTGTGGACCCTGCACCAGGATGTCAGTGGTGCTAAACCTGCCCAGGCAGCAAAGGGTGCAGGCACACCGAGCTCCTCAGCCCCACCATTAATTACATGCTAATGGGCTCTGCAGGCACGATGATGTTTCTGGGTGGTTCCCAACACGTCGCCTCCTCACCCTTCTGCTCCACCAGCATCTGTGACTGCATGCTCTTGGAATTGCAGCAGTGACGTGGCTGTGGAGTCCTGGGAGCATCCCGCAGGATGGGCAGAGCTCCAGGATAGCTCAGAGCCCCCCGAGCCCGCAGCCCACACTGGAGCAACATTCCTGCAAGGAGGGAGTGAAGGTGCGGATCGCAGCCAGCCCTATCCTGCCTGGACTAGTCAAAGCAGAGAACAAGCCTCAGACAGCAGCTCCCAGGAGTGTTTCAGGCCCGCGGCACTTGCAAACACCCAGCTAAAGACCTAAAAGTCCAAATATCTCCACAAACACTGCAGATGCTGCCAGTTGCGGTGCCAGGTCAACCAATTGGGGTGCCAGGTCAACCTTGCCTGGGCTGCTGCAGCTCGTCTCCTGGAGCCAGTTTTGATCTTGCAACGGTGCACACACTCACATCCCCGGCACGACAGACAGCCGTGCACAAGGAGGGCATCAGCAGACCCCATTGCAAGCCTATAGATGCATATATCTATTTTCAAAGGTGACACTCATCTCCCTTTCCCTTCCCTTGCTCACCTCCCAGCAGTACAGGACCTCAGCAACAGGAGGTAGCAGGACCCAGCTCCTCTCCCAAAGCATCCCTCATCTGTAATCCCTGCATGGGATGGCAGCATGATGGTGGATGGGGGCATCCCAATTCCTCCAGCCCCTAATGGGGAAACCCTGAGGAAGATGATGCAAAAATAATCCTCTTTTTAGCCCCTGAAAGCTCTCATCTGCCTGCAGACAGGCAGGCAAGGGTCCAGCAAGCACATCCTCAGCCCACCAAACGTAGGGCTAAAACCTAGTTTCAAACTCATTAAAAACCCCTCAAAACCTTTAACCAAGTGAGCACCATTAAACCAAACCCTTCCCGGGTCCTGCACCGCAGCTGAATCCCATCCACCTTCCCAACCTCAGCCAGAACCCGCAGCACTCAGCTCAGCATCACCTCCGCTCCCGCATCCCAAACCTGGGTTTGGCCCATGATGAATAGAGGCTGAAAACCAATACCCCGCTACCCCCTGGGTCTGGCAGCAAAGAGCAGAACAAACTGCAGAGCACCGGAATCAAATGTTTATGTTGATATTTATTACAGCATGGGGAGGGGAGGGGGGAGAACCGTAACCATTCAAAAAACCATCCCATACCAATGAAGACAATAATTTAGCTATTCATTTTAAAATACATTAAACCCGGTCCTTTCGTTTCCTCACGTCAGAACAGAATAGAAAAAGAGAGAAAAAAAAAAGGAAAAAATATATATATA